ACGGTGACACACAACACGGCGGGAAGAGCTCGAGATGGTTCCTCAGGACATGGGGGAACTGCAGGGACTCCATCCAAGTGGCTGGTAACAGTAGGATCAGATGGTAATTTGGAATTCTGCAACTGGCTAAAGTGACAACAAGCAAGTTACAGTAAGCAGTATACTATTACCCGAATGGGTACATGGGTTTGACCCATAAGTAGTTAAGTACCAAGCTTGTTGGAAAACTAAATCTTTGTTTGTTGGTTTAATTGCCTTTTTTTCTTTAGGCAGTGCGTTTAATTTGGCCTTCTCCCCGTTTGTTTGCAGGCTATGGAACGTAGAAGGCAATATCAGGACACCGGTTATTGTAGCCATAGGAGGCAGGCAGAAGGCTTTCTCAGGCTGAGCGTAAGGCTATTTTGGGGATAGAGGTCGGAGTGTCAGAGGGGGCGGTCGCCCAGCAGGTCGAAGAGTAGGCCTGCAACAAGTACGCTTAGAAGGATAGCATTTAGAAGAGAAGAGCAGCGGGCTCAATATAATTTGTTTGGCTTCAGCAACTGATGCCTCGGCAGCAAGTAGTTAGCAGTAACCCACAACAGATTCATAAACTGAAGCTGGATCAGGTCCGGTGACATGGTTACCCTCCGGGTTGTTTGTTGAGGATTCCCGGCCTCAAAGTGGTTTACTTTGCTTTGAATTAACGATCCTCTACCTTTGCCCAAAAAAAAAAAAAAAAAAAAAAAAAAAAAAAAGGAACCGTGTTTGTATTGGAAAAAAAAAAGGAAAAAAAGAGGAAAAGGGATAATTTGCAAAATACCCTCATAAGTTGAGATATGTGCCAAAATGCCCCTGAAAGACGTGGGTAGAACGGAATGCCCTTTTGGGCCTAAATCTTTGTGTTGTGCCCCTGTCGGGGGGGGGTGCAAATTTGCAATCTGGACCTCCTCCCCGTTTGGGCCTTGGCCTTTTGCAAACAGCACCTAGTAGGAAAAATTGGCGCATACTGGGGCATTTTGCAAAGTTGGACGGTACCCGGTAGGGGTATATTGAAAAGATGGTCAGTACAACTGATGCGAAGGGTATTTTGCAAAGATTTTATTTGTAAGCAAATACAATAAAATAGATAAGGAATTCCATTAATATTTTATCATATCATGTATTAATGATATATATGATGTACGAAATTCTATGATTTTATATCACAACAAAATATATTTATTATTTACAATAGAACGATTATAGGAAAGTTATATGATATAATAAATAACATACAGTTAATAATTTAATACAACATCTATGAATAAAATGATCAGTAGGAGAATCTAATGAATTAATGAAGATACGTGAAAAGATAACATATCTATGTGTGAGGATTGAGCCCTCAAGAAGGGGCCTTGCCATGATGTACATGTTCTGGGCTAAGGCCCCCAGCAAGCCTCCAGTGAAGGCGGGCCAGCAAATCAACAAGAGCCCTCTGTGCAAACATTTCACGAAGTGGGGTCCATACAGTTGCAGCACGCCAGTTGGTTGGTGTGCACCGAGTATCGGAGCTCTGCAAATGCAGAAATCCCAGGGCCCCTGAGTTGGTTAGGCCCTGGGCACATAAACGTGAGGCCGACAATGCATGCTGGATATAGAGGCCGCAAATGCCAATGGGAAACCGGTCCACTATCTGAATCTGGCCGCAGGCCTTGATGAAAGAGGCGCAACTGCGTCTCCTGGGCCCCAACCGCATCAGGCCTGGGTACAGGTACTGGGGCCCAGGCGCAGGCTCAAGGGAGGCCGCCCGCACGCAACACTGGCATATAGGCAGGTAGGGCGAGTGGGCAGGCATCTTGGCCATTGTGGGCAATGCCGGCACGCTGCGCGAATGCGAGGTGCTGTGCTGCGCTAGGCTGAGGTAGAGGCAGGGTGCGCTAAGCGGTAGAGCGCTGCCTGGGCGCAGGGCGCTGGCGGCCATAGCCGGGCTGCCTGTGGGCGCAGAGGAGGAAGGGCGAAGGTGGTTCTTCGGAGGTGAAGGGCACTGTGTGGGGTAACAAGGGAGAGTGAGGGAGAAGAGAGAGACATACCTGGTGGAGAGGAAGTCGGCATTGGTGTTGACATCATCACTCGCTGGTCGTCAAGTTGTCTGGTTGCTCTCATGCTGTAGTTGTAGTGATAGGCTGTAGAGTAGGTAGGGCGCCTGGCGCCATTCAAGAGAGAGAGCTACATTGGGTTATGCTGTTGGTGTTGCCCGATTGGGCTTGGACATTGACTCACGATTCTTCTGTATCGTTCTCAAATGGATGGTTACTCGGTTCCATTGTGCTATCTGCTCTTGCTTTGACTACTTGGACTTCAGTGTGATTTTGCAATCTGGATTTCTGTGCTTCGTCCACATTCATGTTCCTTGCATATGTAATTAAGTTAAAATAAATATTGGAGTTAAGTTAGAGATATACATGTATTGTCAGAAGGGTATTCCGCTCCACCCACATCTTTTGGGGGCATTTCGGCATTTATCTAAACTTTGAGGGTTATTTTGCAAATTATCCCAAAAACAAAAGGTTCGGATACGAACACTAAAAACAGTTAAATTAGAAAAATAGTAAAATACTAAAATAGTAAAATACAGAGAAGATTGATTATCATGGAACCTGAGTAAGGATGACACACATTAAAAAAAAAAAA